CTCCTATATGGGATTTCAGAGAGCTATTTCGAGGTTACTGTTCTGAAAGTAAGATTATTACAGATTTGAACACATCCCAAACAGCCTTCTTAATCCTTATATGTTTCAACTGACCCATGTCCCAGGGCGAGGGGATGAAAGAAACATCCAGTCCTACGTTTCTGTAAAGCCCTTGCAGATCCTCACATGAAAGACACTTTGTCACGCAAACCAATTCCAAGTCTTTGTTTGACTTGAGGTAACTCTCTTTCATCACAAACACAAACCATCCACTGACTTCAGAGGCTGCTTTAGTGAAGGCCGGCTTCAGGAAGATGTCGTCCCTCAGGAACATTTTTAACACAGAACCAGCTCGAACTACCTGCAACCAATTCCAACAAGCTCTGCAGGTTCCCAGGCTCTAGGATCGGACCCACAGACAACAGTACTAGGAATGCTCTTTTCTCTAAGCTGGTTTGAGCTTTGTCTTGAGTATGTGGATATGTGAACTTTAACAACATCTGTATTTTTCTTGAGCATAAATGTCCACCTACAAAGGGTCTCACATACCTAAGCCTCCATGGACTTAGTAACATTCTGTACCACAACAGAACTCCTTTTTTTGGATAGATACGGGAAGGAAGAGGCTCCCTTTCTCCCTTCTGACCACATCATCTCAGCACAATTTACACCGGTACAAACTGAGCTTTTTTTCTTTTTTTTCTCCTTAATCTTCAAAGAGCATCATGCTATGCTGAAACAAAACGAGAGTTCCCAAAAGCCCCCTAACGCACCAGATGCTGTAACACATGCAGAAGGACTAGCACAGTGTGTGATATACAGCCAGTGGTCAGTGGATATTCAGTGCAGAATACAAAAAAGGCTCAGTGTGGAAAGCAGCACATGGAGATTCAGCAGGCAGCTCTCATTAGTGTCCACAGGACATGCTACTAAGCCTTCACACGTCTTTAAAGATGTTTTCCTGTGTCTTTAATAGACGTTTGCCTGAATCTACTCAGAAGCTGAGACCAAGCAGGCAAAGTTTTTGCTGGGAAAAAGTCTTAGCCTTTACAAAACTGGCCCTTTTCCAGAGCGGAGAGCATCTGGACACCAGATGTGTTTAGAAGACAGCAGGATAAGGAATAGGTCAGGGAAAATTTGAGTAACAAGAAGACAGTGCTGAAATTTGTCCTGAAAAGAGCACCAGCCTTCCTCTCTGATGTTCAAAATCTCTGCTCTCATACATTCCCCATCCTTTTTGCAGTTCTCAAGCTGATTATTGGAAAATTACTCGTTAGAGAGAATACAGATACCAATTCCAGGCTCAGGAAAGGATCCAGCAAGGCTCAAAAATAAAAAAGTGGGACGTGTGGAAACTGGCTGTCAGTTAGGCAAGGTGAAAATGTGAGGAAAATCTGGAAACGAAGACAGGGCCAAGTCTCTTGTGAGGAGGCAGAAGGAAAGATCTGCAGCGAGGCTGGGACAGAATGCCTTTAAATCCTCAAGGATTACACCAAGGGACTAGTATAAAAAAAGACAGATGGAAAGGAACCAAAACAACCTATCGGTACCATTTCACGCTAGAAAATTATAATTTAAAAAATCACTTTTTTAGAAGAATTTTATATTTCTTCCATTTCACCTAGAGAGGATGTAGAAGGCTATAAGTAATATTTATTTGGCAAATAAAAGAAAGTCAGACAGACAAAAGAAGTAGAAGTTTGTTGTTGTCGTCTAAATGATAATAATATCTTTCTAAATGCTAATAAAATGCTATGGTAGAAGAACCTTATCTGAGAGGGAAGGTATTCCTGGATACCCACTGATATGCATACTGCTCTTTAGACTAGGTTTATCACATAGCTCTTCTTCACACACTCCAGATTAATGGAATGAAGAATCCATGCATGCAGCCACATATCATAAAGTTCAGAGATTATGAGACATGCTAGAAGACAGAACCAAAACTGAAAATGATCACGATTAAGGAGGGAATTTGGCCCAGTTAAACCAGAACAGACTTTATTAAAGATGAGTGATAAGTGTTATACTTTGAAAGGTATTAACAAATGGACAAATGCAAATGGGAACTCCTGGTAAGGCAGTAGTAAACTCATCAGGTGTTATAATGCATGATAGACTAGATGCAATTCAGCTACGGGACATTCTTTCAAAAAATATTCTAGGATATATTTTTAGATATTCTGTAGGTAAAACCCAGAAGACAATTACTGCAGTTCACTTGCTATGGGATAAAACCGCCACTAAAGTATTTTGGGAAAACTAAGGAGCCAAGAGGAGAATGACAGCAGAAATTGGAGGTCTAGAACACGTTTTTGAAGCGAGTAGGAAGGACTTATATCAGTGAGGAAAGTAGGGTAGTTTCTCTCATACAAAAGAATATTCTTATAAGAAGGCTGTGGATCATCGGCTCTTCATGTCAAGGAAGGCTTGAAAGAAAAATGGCTTGCTTTGCAGGAAAGAAAGTATAAATCAGCTATTAGGAAAAACTTCTCGAGGTGAAGACTGTGGATTCCTGTCACTGGAAGGTTCAAGAACTTGCAGGTTATATATATCTATATACCTATACTTCATCTGGCCCTATGGAAGGTGAGAGGGACTAAAATCACAATTTTCAAACTCTAGTCTGCAAATCCATGAAGATCCATAAGCTACTTCCAAGAGAAATGGGTGCTTGCGTTACACAGGCTGACACTTTCGCTGGCAAAAGTTACGCAGTCCATGTGTTAAAAAAAAAAAAAAGAAAAGAAAAAGAAAATGATAACTCTTAAAGCTTTCTTCCCTATACATTGCCGATTTTGGCATGACCAGTGTTACCCCCTTACACACCAGCAGCCGCCATCGTTTCCTGTCGCAGTTTTGAGCAATGCGCTGCTTCGGCCTTGCTCTCTCCTAGGGTTTGATGGTGACCGGTAAAGCAGAGGCCGTGGCCGTCGCGGGCTGCCCTGCCTCCTGCCCTGCTCGCGCGGCCCTCCACGCTCGCCCCCCCTGCGGAGGGAAGGGGCAGTGGTGGCTGCCATCCCCACACGAGGCACCGGCCTGCCTCGCCACACGCACACGGGCCCGCTTGCTCCCACAGAGGGACATTCTGCCCACGGACACACACGGATGCGGCTCCTGCTGGCTCTGCTGGGCGTTACGCATGACCCCGAGGGAAGGATGTTAGCCCTGTGGTTATTGTCTGAAAAGCTCTGCTATTTCAAAACTCGAAGCTGCTGGGCGAGATCTGTTGCTGTCCTCTACTTATTACTGGTTTGGAAGGATGGGTTTCCATGGCTGAGGAAGCACATCTAATAAGCATCCCTGTGCGTTGCAGTGGCATCAACCACATTCTTGCTCCTCTGGTATCGCGGCATTTGCAGAAAAGCTGTCATTATCTAAATGTTCTGGCCATCATCTTGTGCGGACATAACTGCGCAGGAAAAACATGGTTAATTGACTTGACATGCTGTGTCCTTGCAACATTAGTGGCAGTTCGGATTTGTTGCACATACTGCATTGGCTTTAAAAGACCAAGAATGCAGGAGGATTTACACCTCAAAGTCATAAAACAGCGTCCTACTGTCTTGATAACTAAAGCCAAGACTGTTCTCTGAGCACTCCAAAAGCTACAAGCATGGAAGAGGACCCAACGCAGCTACTTCAGTGGAAGAACAAGAAGTCAACATGCACTGTCAAAATAAAACATCTAAAGTCTGTGGACTGGGCACAGTTTCTGAACGGCATGCTACAAATAACCACATCAATGTCATTTTGCCATGGTCAAGGCAACACCTTTGCCTGCTTCTTGCTGCGGTCTTCTCTGTGTTTTAAATTGTTTGGTTCATGATGGGTGTTATTCAAAGACAGAGCATCAGGAATGTGGTGGCATTTAGCAGATTTGCCTTGCTACCAATATGCTGCAAAATAAACGGAGCCCTGACATTAAATCCCAGCCCCAATCCCACCCCATCTAAGCCCTGTGTTGTAGATAACCTATGCATTCTCAAAATACAGTGAGAAATCGTTCTATAGTACATATTTAATTATAATTTATAAAAAGTCTAACTCAGACACATTCTCTGGACAGTAGCAAAGTATTGACACATTACTAGAATAGAGATCCATTATTATCCCTTCACTGCAGCAAACAGAAATCAGCATCTCGGGAAGGGTCTCTGGGGGTATCACCTCACAACCAATTGCACTGAATTAAAAAAATATGCTAACTTCACAAATGGAGTTTGACAAGAAGTAACATTGCATTTGTCTTGGCAAAACGAAGCACAAACATAACATTCCACAGGTACAGTTACCATGCAAATGCATGTTGAGTTTGTCATTGCTTTGAAACCCCAAATCACGAGTAGCATGCAGTTCTCCTGCCCCCTCCCTCCCCAACTACTGTATTAGAGATAGTCCTGGTAATGTACCTCTTTGGTGTAACCATCGCCTGTTAGGCAAGATTAGACCACCTTAGGAAAGGATACAAGCAAAACTTGATCATAGGTATGTTTACACAAAGTACATTTTACCATTAAAAAACCAAAACAAAACATTACATAGGTTCTCAAACACAGCTCTGTCGAAAATGAAAATTTAAACTTAAGAAACAGTTTTTGAACTACAAGGCCACCCCTTTATTTTTTTACGAACAATTTAAAAAGTTCCCACCCCTAAAAATCTGCCAGTATATTTCCTCAGTTACAACAGTCTTACCCACTCTCTAACACAGTCAATCATTGCTCAATGGCAACTAACAGTTCTTACATTTCTTAAATGCACAACATAATGGACTCTGGGATAGATATAGTTCTTAAATGGGTAACACTGTGGAACAAAACAGCCTTAAATCACTAATTTGGGTGCTCCATGGCATCACTGCACAGGCAGGGGCTTCTGCTGTTCATTGATGCGGGTTCTGGCTTTTATTGGCACCTAGCTCCGTGACCACACTTTTGTGTTCAGAATTCGAATACAACAGCAATTCACTAGACAGTTCTGTATCCCTGCTGCTCAAAACAAGCAGGAGCTACGTGTTCTGTATTCCCTCATCCGGATGAGGCCACAGCCTCAACGCAGCAACTTTGGCCAGCACAGAACTATTTGGATGTGAAGTAGATGGTTTTTTTCGTATTCATTTAAACAACTGCAACGGGAGACTTAACTTGCAGGGTCTTTATTGGAGCGTTACCGTCTTCCTCAGCTTTATACAATGGAGCCCTTTGAAGAAGACAAATGAATTGACTGAATCCTTGTGGCCAACGTCCTCTGTAAGTCCTGTAGTACATTTTGACCAGATGTTTCTCCATTCTTGTCATACAACAGCTGTTTGAAAGCTTCATTTTCAATGAGGACCATCATATTTTTTAGAAAGTAGCCTTCGCAATAGGCAGATAGTTCTGTGACTCCGAGAAACTACAAGTGAAATCAGAGAAAGATAACCATTCTGGTAAAACCTGGTCAGCAAATACAGAGCTGCACACAAACAAAGAAACAAGCCAAGCCTTTCGGATACAGGTGCATATGTGTGTAGGGGTGGGAGTTAATCAAACAGTATTTTACATTGACAATTCTAATGACAAATTCCATGTTACAAAGCCCTCTGTTGTAGGAAAAAAAATCCAAGGCTGAATGAAGTTTGGGGGCCTTGGAAATAGGTGGGAGTTTTACCAGAAGGTTCAACAGACCCAGGATTCATGCTAGAAGGCATATCCTAAACCTACAGGTTTGGTGAAATCTACTAGAGACCAAGTTTAAAGAATATCATCCTTAGCAAGTCTGGGACACACACCCTCCAAAACATCTCCAATAAATCTTCACAGGAGAAATGGAGGCTTGTTGGGCATGTGGTGTAGGACTGTCAGCAGTCCCTCTACAGTGACCAACATGGCTTTGGAGGAGACAGGGATGACACAACGCATGAGCAAACCTCCCGTGACCTATACTAGGACCTGTAGTCACAGTGCCTGAGCCACAGGCTCCCGTGGTCATGCAAGGAGTGAACACGCCAATCTGCCATAAACCATGCGAGTTTATAGTGCAGTGCTCAACTCATCCTCCTGCCCAGGTAAGCTCCTGCTGGGTCTGAGCTCCAAGAAGGAATGGCAACCTTTGGCTCGCTTGAGCTTGGAACAACTACACAACATTAGCCATTACAACCATAACATCACGTTTGGAACTAAGAATGGAAACTACTAAAAAAGGAAAATAAATACAGATTAGGGCTAGGTAGGAGCTTTCTTCCTGAAGAGAATGAATGTTTCAACTTGATTTTCAACCAAGTTTTCATCGAATTATTCCTGAATTACTTTGTTCTTGGATATGACCAGCGTTATGGATGAATTTGTATTCTTCTCTGAAGCACCATTCATCCTTGATCATTATTTCATTCTACTCATGATATTGAGGAAATAATGTGTTTTTCTTCCCTTTCTTAGGCTTGCTCTGAGCCCCAGATTGCAAGCTGTGCAAGTGCAGAGTGGCATGTATTCAAAACTCCAGTTAATTTTGCTGGGTGTGAGCATTCATAGAAAGCACAACTGGTATCCAGCGGTAACTAATCAATCACCACCGAAAAGCTGATTTTCCAGTTACAAAGACTTTGAGTGAAAATGAAAGTGATACCAATCTGCCCTTTTGTAGATGTTTACAACTGAACGGAAAACAGTGGAAAGTTTATAGCAATGCCACATATGATTTTAATACTCTTAATCCAACTTTTAAATTGCAAATGTGACCAAATGCACTTTCTCTCACCTACCATATACTTCATCTCTAATTCAGGGTCCCAATCTCTTGTCCCTACAGCTCCTACTACACAGCTCACCACTCTGCTAAACACTCCTCTCTTACCGCCTATGTCCCCAACACAGCAACCTTCCAGATCTGCTCACTTCAGGCCTTGGTTCTGCAAATTCATTTCTTTCCCCCAGCCACGATGAGAAGGACTGTGGCCTCTGTGTCTCAAGGCCAACCTGCTTGCCGCCTAGAAAAGCAGGTCTCAGCATTGCCTGAGTACAGGCACAGCCAAGTGTGCAAAGCAGAAGGCACTAGAAATTGTACCTAGAACAGGAACAAGTTACCCAAGACCAAAAACACAGTCCTCTGCTTGATCCCTGACTTGAGTGCTTGTGCACCTTATTCCCACCCTCACTGCATCTAGCATGAGCTTCTTTGATAACTTCAGACAACAACACGGAAAGCCAGACAGTCTGCTATCAAACTGCACTTGAACTGCTTACGAGCTCCCTTGGCTCAGGAGGACCATCTGGCCTCCTCTACCCCATGTCATTATCCCATATTGAGATAACAAACAAATGAAGCAGAATGAAATGTCTCAAATTAACAGCTCGCACATCACGCAGACCTGAAGCAAAAAGAGGGAAGGTCTCTCCTCTGCAGGCAGGATAACAGAGAGATATCTGAACTACAATTAAATGGGTTAGTTCAGGTCCTGGAAACCTTCCACTACGGCACTATGGAGCTTATCACTGGTAATTTACTGGAAACAGGGCAAACTAGCCCAGGCAGAGCTCTAGGGTGATGCAGCCTAACTAACTCCAGGACTTCATTCTCAGGTAGCTTTGATATCCTTGCTGTGAACTCCACATGTTAATGCACACATGACCCAAGCCTTTCAAGCCTACCCAATACACCACCTGCACTTCTCCGCGGATTGAGAAGTTTCAGGCCGAGGCCCTTATGGATAAATAAGTCTAAAGCTGAGCTCAAGAATGTTCTTCAGTCAGGATAAAAGTAAGAGCTACATTTCACCATTTGGAGGAAAGATATGTGATCTTAAACAAGGAGTTTTACTTACACATTATGTGTTTTGTTTTTAGCACAACAACATAAATCCCGAAGCTCCCACTTTGCTTAGAAAATTAATCAGGTATTTTTCAAGAAGATTCTAATAACCGTAATTTTTTTTTCTATTTTAATAAGTGGACCTGCAGATACATTTAATCTATTATTGAATGTGGAAGTGGTATTTCATGCTATTTCAAACACCAACTGTGTGTGTCTACACATCAAGACCTATCATTGCCACTCTCTGGAGGAAACACCTGATGGTAGGAATAAATGTCTGATCAGCAGGGGCTTGTAGAGCAATCTATAGGATTACTCTGTTCAATCCAATGTTTGTGTCACACCACACCATTTTATCTTTTATATAAACCACGTAAGTTACGGAAAGACCATTTAAAGAATATTTTAAATAAACAACAAAAAAAATTGCAATTATTTTTGCATTAATTTCATCATGCAAGAAAAAATCAAGCTACATTGCACAAAAAAGGTGATATAATCAATGTGGTAAACATCTTCATCAATGACCTTCATCAAATAGGTTTTATAGTTCTCAAAATGTCATGACTTTATGCCTGATGGCTCAGGTTTTCCTCACAAGCTAAGTAAATATTTGATTTCAGTGAAAAGCTGGAAATCTCTCCAACACACACAAAAAAATCTTATTACCACCCTTGCAGGGTTGTGAGACATTGCACTTTGACAATATGACATTTTCATATATTGAAAAGCTGCCACTAACACTGAGGACATCACCTGTATAGGTTACAGGCAAAAGGAAGCAGGAAGCTGTAATTGGAAAGTCCCCTGTGGAAGATGCAAAACGGAGATCTTACTCAGTTAGGTGATCCTCGTTAACTGATTCAGCAGTGTGTGCTGCTGTGATAAGGGGTAGGTCTGCCACACCATTTGTGTGGCAGACACAAATAGAGTTTGAACCGGTAAGGCAATGGGATGTGTAGCTGCCAGAGACACTCTCACACTATGTGATCTAGATCTGTCACCATTCTAGGTACCTACTGGCTGCTCAATCTCAGTAAATCCATGACAAATCCTTGATATACGACAAACCACCCTAAGTGCATCACGCACTACTTATCGTAACCCATGACCACACAGAGTATGAGGACAGACGCATACATAACATGCATGGATATGTGGGGTTTTTTTACCTTGGCATGATTATAAATATCCACACAGTTTTCTGTATTAATGCTTTTTGCACAAATGATCTCACAGTGTCGTTGCAAAGCTTCAAGCTGGAAAAATTTAGCAGCAGAGAGAAACTAAAAAAAAAAAAAGAGGAAGAAACAGTCAGAACTGCTGAGCAATACAGGATCAGAGCTTGCTTTTTCACCGTTTCATTATACTTTCTTCCTCAGCCCCTCTTTCAGTTTGAATAATAAACAGTCAGAATGAGAAGGTTCCTTTGTTGGTTCAACCCCTTGCTGTCCCCTTCACATTAGACTGTGAGAAGCTATGTATGGAGAGACCACTAGCTGGCAGCTAGATCTCCATGCTGGCTTTGGAATGGGGGAAGTGCTAAAAAGAAAGCAGCATACTGGAGAGTTTTTGGTTGCTTTTCAAAAATGACTGCAATCACATTCCAGTAAGAAAAGGTCTGGGCTTCACTGCTCCTCAAACTCCGGTTGAATAAAACACCTGGGTTTGATGCAGAGATGTCAGGAGAAGGGCCAGCAGTACACAGGAATACAAACCAGATGACAATAACCACCCCGTGTAGCTTAAAAATCTATAGAGGTAATAAACTCGAAACCTGTCACCTCAGCAGGCTCAAGGAAAGGCAGTGAGATCTCCATGTTTGCGAGCAGCAGTAATGCCTTCTCTAAAGCACTGCCTGGCTCCATGTGGGCACACAGTGGGATATGATGCAAATGGGTGGACTAGGGTTGGTACAAGGTAACACCTAATAACAGGATTTCCCCTATTGTCCCTTTTCTGTCCTTTACAGCCGGGGAAGGGGATTTAATTTTTTTGTCTTCTCATGGTAGGCCATCACCCTGAAACTGCCATGGCATCACTTTGTCTCTCCTGTGCAGTCTACTCAAGCTCTGCTTTAATTCCATAAATAAATCCAAGTGCTGGAAATCTGCAGTGCTGATGTGATAGCAGCCAGCTGGCCCCAATTATGAATTGCTGCAAAGATTTCTGTGGAGTATTTCTGGTGCTTCTTGTTATCATATTTGTAATAAGGCAAGTTGCTAAATGCAGTTTGGAAAGATAAAGCCAAATCCTATTCCAGCTGCCTCTGTGGCTTAAGCAGCAATGTGCTGGTTTGTAATTACTTTTAACTGCGAGGAAGCGTGGCTAGATCTGTTATCAATAGATCAGTCAATCAGCCATAAATTCTGGAGCCACAGAAGTTTAGGGATGTTGCAAAAGTAGAGCAAGCAGCCAGCTGAACTGCAGCACAAGCTTTTTAATAACCTAGGTGATTACATATGCATCTCTCTAAAGCTGTTTCACCAGCTAGTTTGACAATCCTTATTTGAGAAAGGGTTAGAAATTTAGATGCTTCTTTCAATACAGAGTGAAACAGAGAAACAGTGACCTATTTCTATAGAGCTCAGAAGGTTGATACGAGTAGGTTTAGTTAAAAATCCACAGCCTGCATTGCACAGGGCTGAGCCTTGCAGGAGGGCTCATGTCATGCCCAGCAGCCAGTGTGCCCCCGTGCAAATGGCACGCAGATCCCTTAGCATTTCTCCTACTGCAACTAAAATAAACATCTCTTACCTCCATGATTTCATTATTCTTAATCAGCAGTGACTCTGCACCTCCATAATAAAGATACTGCATAACCAGCTGCAACAAAACAAAGGGAGTGTTTACAAAAGGCAATCCAAGGCATCAGCAGAGGGTGACATAAACATTGCACCAAACACCCGTGGCTCTCCAGCTCCAGGATTGCGGAGGGAAAAGTAGCCCAAACTTCCTTTTTTTTTCAGGGTGTATTTGGTTACTCTCTCGCTCTCTGCACAGTTCAACGCTTCCTTCTTGCAGGTATTCTAGCTTGACTCCTCAACCCTCACCAGCCACACTGCCAAGACTTCCTGGTGAGGTCCAGGCAGCATCCAGACAAGGGGCTGATTAATTCCATCTGAATTTTCCAGGTATTTTCCAATATGAATAGCATGTTTATTTTTTTTCAGGAAAGTATGGCATATATACTGCTTAGTGCCTTATTCCTTCCCTGGCAATAGCACCTACACCTTTATCTAGCCATGTGTGGGCGTGCATGAATGATGAGAAAGAGCCCACAAAAATTTCTCTGTAGTGAGCAAGCTCTGTAGTAAGCAAGCTTAAAAGTTACTGTAGGCAGCTGGGAAATACTGCAGCTGTAACAGTCAATACATGAAAACTGCCCGAGCACTAACTCCAACAAGGGGAAACATATACATGCATATATACACACAGAAAGAAGATTCTATATTTTCAGGAAATAAATTTGATTAAACAATATTACTAAAGAGAGGAATGAGCTATGTCTCCTCCAGACCTCTCCATTAAGTACAGAAAGAACCTATGGGATAAACAGGTATCAAGTACTTTACACTGAAATGTTCCATGCCTGCATACCTCAGGTAAGTGAAATGTATGCTATTATATCTGTTGGGGCACAGCACATGTTTGCAATCAATAGCACAGTGCAGTTTAGTGTTTAAAGGAAGATGAAGCCTTTGTTTAGGGAACAATAATCTGAGCAGAGTTTATCAAATACAAATGTATTAATTTGGGCAGGCCATGTATAATGGTCTTATGAAATGTTCCATGCAAGTTCAATATAAGAACTGACTTTACCTGAAAGATGGGGTACTTCACATAGTTGATCTCAATACAAGTACTATCAGCTGCGGGCTTGCTAGACAGCAGTGCTTTAAACCTAAACAGAAATGAGCAAAATTGAAATACCAGTTCAGAGATCCCTGTGAAAAGGTACAGCAAAGTGGAAGGATGGCATCAGCTCTTCCAAAAACAGCACAGTGAAATGAATGGATTCGTCAGTCAGCAACATCAAGACGTAGACATTGACAAAACACAGTTCAAATTAAAAGGCAGAAGCCCCTCCTTTTGGAAATTTCAACTCAAAGATTTGGAAAAATATATCAGATATCACAACAGAAAAAAAAATCTGTGCAGGAAATTCAGATCCTCTAATTTGGTAGAGCATATTATAAAACCAGAATCTTAACGTTCTTTTGTTTGAAAGCAACAAAGTCTTACAGGAGACTTGCAACATTCAAACTATCTCTTTCTAAGAAGATCAATTTGGGCCTTATGTCACTTGAAAAAAATGGCTTGGAACAAAATATTTTCAAACCTATGGTAACACTTATTAATGCTTTTATATAGACTCAGTACAATTGCATAGGCACATGGCAGAAGAAAAAACTGCATAGATTGCCGTTCTCTGATTGTCAAAACTTGAAACTCAAACTTGTCTTTCAAGATAAAAACACAGCAGAGTTCTTTTAAGTTAATAACTGCTGATTTATGTGAGATTTATATAAGTATGTAGCCATCTTTGTTTCAAAGCTAGGTATTCCCATTTGATCCGAAGGTGAAAATGGGAAATTCACGGTCAAAACTATTTGCCTTTGTGCTTCCTCTTTTTGATACTACATCTGACCTTCTGGAGGTGATGCAAAGCTTAGCTTATCTATCAAGACCAGATTCTTGCTGGATGGCAACTTTTTCCATACAGGGACTGCACATTCTTAATTAAAATATGGATAACAATTGGTTTGTTTTTACTAGTGTCAAACTCTGCTATGAACGATTTCATCGGTTTAAAGCATGTGCTTGTACATTTACCAATATGCTCTAAAACAAAATAAGCACTTCCTAAGCTGAAGGCAGGGTCAGATATTGAAGTTGCTTCATGCAAATCTTTTTACTTTGTGCATTGATGGGTGGGCAGCATCTCCATTATTGATTCGCACATTTTTCAAACTACGCTAACTCAATGGCTTGCCCTTGCCACATCTTGGAATAAGCCCTTGTGTAGGGCTGCCTAAATTTGTTTAAAAGCACACCTTGAATTTCAAAGCTGTGCACAGACTAGGTTTGTGAGCAGTGAAAGAAAGGATTTTGCTTTAAGGCTGGGTTGAGCTGGGTGACCTGGATTCCAGCCGTCTGCGCACAGGAACAGACCACAGGTAGATGCTTAATTTTATATTTAAAAGTGTAAAATGCTGCCAGTGAATTGTGTGGTAGTAATTTGTTTATCCTGGAGAGAGCCTGCACTGATGCAAGGCAGGATTTAGCGGCTCACAGGATAAATAATTGTTAAGAACCAATGTATTATGACTCCTTTACAACTAAGGCCCAGCTGCAGCAATGAGCTCCATGCAAGTGTGTCTTGGTGAACGAAGTCAGATGCATGGCCATAAGCACAGAGCATTTACAGGGTGGCAACCCAGTGACAGGAATGCTAAAATGTCCTGCAAATCAAGCAGAAAAAAAAAAAAGCTGTTGAGATTTCCTGTTTAGGAGAAACGCGAAGATTGGAACTGTTAGCACCATTAGCACTCAAAGAACTGTGGCAATAAAATATCAAAAAAAAAATCCAAAATACATGGAATGAATGTAATTGTTTCTATATTTTACCTTGGTGATGCGGTAAATAGCAACACTCTATGTGCATAAAATGGTCTTCCTTCCACCAGAAATGTAACATCTGACATCTCTTTGTTGTTAAGAAAATGCGGATCTAGAATCACAAAATGACACAATAACCAAACAAATAACTTTGGTGTGGAAGAGGTCATGAACGTACAGAATATTTTCCTGTTTTGACCGAAATAAAGGACAATAGCGTAAAAGGATATTGTTTTCAATGAGTAAAGCCCATAAGGCTAATTTAGGCAGCCTGAGACAGAAGCCCCGCAGACAGCCCAACGCAATCCAGACACAAGAAACTCAAAGCTTTGAAATGCATGTTGACCTTTTGCTTCCATGGCAGCCATCCCTCCCGTATAGCCCAGGTCTGCTGGAGAGCTGGCACCACCTCCAAGCAATGTGACCCAAAGATAACTGCATCTAAACGGATGTGTGAGGGCCCTTTTCTCATGGACTTTTATTACACCCAGCTACACCATGCAGGGAAACCTTTGCCTGAAGAGAAAAGAGGCCAGGAGACTCACCCGCCTCTTCTCTAGACCACATTAAAGCAACTCGGGCTCTCTGGGTATGGCTGGGAGGCTCTGCCTCCGTGGTGGGAGCAGATCTCCTGGCCGGTGCCAGCCGGAGCCGCTCATGTGGTGTCAGACAAGGAGGCTGTTTGGCTTTAGGCCCTGGGCTCACGTCCCAGCCCGCTTAGCAACAAATCTTTGCAGACTTACAGTCCTGTTCCAATGCACCTAGTGATCCACCAGTGGGAGTTGTGGGTCAGGTGAAAATTAGAGCCCTTCATTTTTCTAGTTCTGCCATTCAAATTAACATTTTTTTCCTGACTTTTGCCTCTCACAAGCACCCAGCCTGCAATGCAGAGTTCCCGTTGCCCTCTGTAAAGAACCAAATGACAACTTCAGGTCATGCCTTTTTGATGCCCTGGATGCTTACCTAAGCGAGAGGTCTGCTTGCGCTTAATTTCAACAAGCTTTGGAATCGGGTAGGGTCCATAGCAATGCGTGAAAATGACAGACAGCTGCTGACTTATAACTTCATTCTAAATAAAAGGAACCAAATACACACAACATAAGACTGAGTATTCAAAGGGCCATGTTACATTATTCTCAAGAGTTGCCTATTTTGAAGCTGAAAAAATGTGATTACTGAAGCTTTATTAAAAATCAGCACTTGGAATTATCAGTATCGTGTTATAAACTACAATGCTTATTTAGTAGTTTGTTATGTCCCCTGTAGGAGTTGACTAAAATGAAGTCTTCTCCTTGGACTGAAGTCTTCTTCCCCGCCAGACTCCACAGCCCTGTGTCCTCCAGTAAAGGAAGCTCCTTTAGAATGGCAATTTCATTTCACTTGCAAAATTTACTTTGCTGTAAAAGGACATTATGTTCCTTTTTAAAAATGATCATTGGCCATATTTTAGGAAACCTGGGCTATCAAAAAGATGTGACTGCACTGCCTGCATATATCTTTTAGCAGAACACCCTCACAAAGTGTCCTCAGTTCAAAGAGTGACACGAGCCTTCACAGCTTTTCACATAATCTCTTCATTTAACCCCAAATATTTCATAAATATGATCTCACATCCTTGGCACTGGCCTTGGCACTACTTTTCTAGGGAAACCACCAGAATCTCTCAAAATCTGGGTCTGCTCCCTGACCCTAGCCCTATCCACTGCTACCCAGGCTGGGAGCAAGGCATTCGCAGATCATCTTCCTAAGGGTCTGAGCAACTGAAGTATTTGTAAATCTAAACTGCAATGATAGTGAAAGGGATTTAGCACTTAACTACCTAAGCCACATCTGAAAGCAAGATTTAAAGGTTTTGCAAATTTTATCCCATCCTTTGCTGGTAACGGGGGCAGGTCTACTCAAGCCAAGGGTGCCATAAGGCTAACTCACAAGAACAAGCATCTTGCCTTTCAACTACTCTGTTGGTCGGCGATTCCTTCTGATGTCACGGAATTATTAAAGGATAAAGGCACTTGGATGTGAGGGAGGCCACAGCCACAGAAATAAGCAGGTAAGGGAGAAAAATGAACTAACGAAAAATCGGAAAGTTCAGATGTTCTGAGCACATTTCAACTCAGCTCTAAAAGCAAAGATTCCTTAAATTCCCCAAGAAATGAGGAGTGGCAGAGATGCTGTAATGACTCCTGTACGGCATCTAATTAAACAGGGTGGCAAAAGGGCAGACCTGTGCCCTCGTAGGCAGCGAGTGCTGATGGCAATGGAAATTACACACGCTCACCTCCGAGCAGAAGCTGACTCCTCTGACGACATCGGACTTAACACTAAGAGAAACCTGCTGGCACTGCCCCAGCTGGCTGCTGAGTAATACCCAATGGGCCGACACACTGGGGTCTCCGAGCAGGGAGCCTGCTACCAGGGGCCCTGCCACGGCCACTCCGCTTAAAGACAAGGAGGACGTTATGCACCGGGAGCATCTTCTCGTTTAGTGCTCTTCATAGGGAGCTTCTCAAAGCACAAGGGTGGTGAATCATAAGACTAAGTGAAAAGGAAGATTTAAGGGCAGATTTAAAGAAGGAAGTGACTCAGTTGCTCAGAGGGCTGAGAAAAGAGCTCTAGACAGATAGGGCAGAGAGAGCAATTGCTCCAAGGGCTGTGCCCAAGAGAGGCTGAGTCAGCCTGGGAGGAGGAGGATGCTGCAGGGATACTGATTCCTGGCAAGGCAGCTTGGGGCTGCCTCCAGCCAGTGCCAAGAAGCCACTAAATGCAACAGAGGATGGCAAGAAAATCATGGATCGGGGTGGAGGGGAGGGGAGGGGAGGGTTCAGAGAGGAGACGTAAGTGGAAGAGCAGCATTCACCTTGCATCTGGGAATAAAAGGAGTTGCTGTACTGAAGAGGATAGCTGTTGGCACATCCCTCTGCCTCCCCAGTCTGTCCTGTGCAAAGGCCCTGCCCATGCCACTGTGATATTAAGTACATGTGAAATTCTTTTAAAAAAACAAAGGTATGGAATAGAGCAGGACAAAAGGAAAAGAAACAAAAAAGAAAGACCTTACTATTGGTCAAAGGCCGCAGAACCATCAAGTAAACGGTGACTATATCCACACTAGGGCCTCAGAGCTCGAACACGAGACTCACCTCTTTTTGCAGAGAGGAGTTTGGAGTCCTTTGGCTCACATCAATAAAACTCAATACCAGATGCCTCTGGGAAGCCCAAATCTGCTAAGCTAGAAAGCTAACAGGAGGTAAGTACGTGCTCATTTAGTGTCGTAGCTAGCAAACAGCAAGGTTTCCACCTTGCTAAGAGAGGGGAGTGGTGAGATATTACCAAGAAGCAATTTAACTTCCCACGCAAACACACAGAGAGCAAAGCCTTTGGGCTTGGCCCTGAATCTGCTCCCCAACTCAGCTGCTCTTACTAATCAACGAGGCAGTAGCAAAGAAGAGAGATGAAAGGGAGCCATTGTCAAAGGTGCAAGTCTGTGACTGGATTGCTGGGAAAAAAAAAGCGTTTTTCAGGGGCCAACTCTGATGGGCTGCCGGGGAAGAAAACTGGGAAGAAATTACATGAGTCCATGAAGCAAATCTGGTGCATCAAAATTGCTATAATGGAAAAGAGGATTGATCTACCCTATTGAGAACTGTTGTCTCCATAGCATTCTCACTGAAAGCCACCTTGGTGACCATGTCTATCCTGCGGAGGCATATAGCAGGGCTACTGTTTCCTGGCTCTCCTGTTGTCCTACAGTTGATTGTAAGAGAACAGCAGTAAGAGCTTTCAGCAGCAGTTGTGGGTGGTGGTATTAACATCGCAGGGGCAAGCCAAAGTTTGTTCTTCTGCTACAGTTTGATGTTGGAAAACTTTTTGCCAGGATGTGTGATGCTGAGATCTGGACTGGGGCCAGCTGCCTTTCAGACCTGGGTGTTCAATCTCAGTCAAAGACAGCTGATGTTCATCTTCTATTGTAGGAGGGGGAATACAGCTTGGCATGGGATTTAATGAAGATATTTACCTTGCCATGGGGTAATTACAGATAGGCAACAGGAAACAGGGAACAATAGTGAATCTTCTTAGGGAGATGGTGCTTCCAGTGAAGAGCTGGTTTGTCAGCAAGTGACTTTGCTTTGTAGAGACAGGCAGCCTCCTGACTTAAAAGCATTCTTCAAATGAGATCTAAAGGAATTCCCCATACTTGGTGAGTGCACTTGAGCCGTGAGGGGAATTCATGAATTCTTTTGAAGCAAAGCTGAAGGTTTTCAAGTTGCCTCAGCAGAGATGTCTAGTAGATTGATCTGAGAAGAGATGAAAAGCCGGATGGGGGGGTATTCATTCTTTTCTTGAATGCCTTTCTGATGAAGGTCGGCGGCAGGACACAGAAAAAAACTCTTCAAGACTTTGGCAGGTATTCTGGAAGAGCTTGCTCCATTTCAGTTTACCTGATTCAACCCATCCTGCCCATCCCGCGACACAGTCCTGTGAAGCTCTGGATGCAGTGGGAAATACTGAGCCAATTTTCTCTAACACCTATTAACACATGTCATCTTGGATGCCCATGCTCCAAATTCTCAAGGGGAAAAGTCGTATCAGATTAAACAGTCGGGCTGCTATTTTGCTCTTCTCTGATTTTCCAGTCTTCCACACATTGCTTCTGCTGCCTCTTCTTCATAGGCTCCCCCATTCCCACACTGCTCCTCTCTGGACTGCTCAAACCCAGTGCTTTGGTCTCCTGACTATGAGGTCTACAGCCATCCTGCCACCACCTCACATTAGCCCTCAACTATGGTAAAAAGTTAGGTTTCTTTTCTTTGCCTTTGAAATCCCATACAATACTTCAGCTTTCTCTTGTGTTTATGTCACCCCCCTAAGTTCATCTCCATTAATGCCAATTCAAGCTGTCCCTTTTTTTCTCGGAATACCCAAATCTGTTGAAGACTGCTCCACGCACGTCCTTCCATGACATGCAGGAATGTCCTTGAATTCTGCCTCTACTTATGCTCCGCTCTCATAGGAAGAGCCAACGAAGGGTTAAGTAACAGAGAGGGCTTTTGCAGGCTGCCCTGGATTGAGCCCCCGAGCTCTGCTATGAGACTTGCTGTCTCTCTGAATCCGTTGCATCCTTCCCGAGGTGTTACTGCTATGGTCCGCTAGCATAACTCACTTTTGCCAGCTGCATCGGAACTGATTAAATGCCACTTTAGAGGGTCACTCCTAGGTGATTAAGCAGCATAACCATAATTAATATTAGTCAACATTTGTAAAGGTAAGGAAGCCCCAGAGGTGGGGAATACAGTTAGAGGCATTGAACTGCATAACAAAATAGGTTTTGTTAGTGCTGGGCTCAAGTCCTTCCACAGCAAATACAAACGGAATGGAATTAATCACAGGTAAGGCACAAATGGACCCTTCAGTTAGTTTCTGGGAAAGCTGCCAAGGTTCGCTTTCAAAAGGCTCTTTATATCACAGCTGTGCATTGTATGTAAAAGGCTCAGCTCCCCGGGCACCGTCTAATCCCTGGGTGAGAGCCCAGAAAAGGGCAGGTGTCACATCCATGGCATTTATTTATTGTAAATGAAGAAATGGCTTCTGCCTCTGGCGGGGAAACATTTTAGAAGGCAGATAGAGGGTAGAAAAAAAAATCAAACCTGTGTTAGTCTAAAGAGGAACATGTGTTACAAAAACACAGTGCAGGGTTAATAGCCTGTTATTATGAACATGCCACTCGGTACCTGGCGCTCCCATCTCACATGGAGAATGCATGATGTACATGTGTGGATAACTTGCCTCCTGGTTACTCTGAACTGTTTAGACACAGAAGTACTACAAATGACAACAGGCAGTGTTATGGATCACTACAATTACTCGAGTGCAGTGAAACCCACTTTAAGAAATCACTCAAAGACCCAGCCAAAAAATCAACCGCTTCCTACAGGGTGGGCACTCGCAAACGCTCAGGCAGAAGGTTTAGTTGCTCCACAGAATCTGTAAGCAGGCACTTTAGGTCCGTGGCTGTCTTCAGGGTTATTTTTAGTGCACGTTTTGCTGTGTCTGCGTCCTCTATGGAAAGTCCAT